TCAAATATCTATTACTTTAAAAACAAAATTATTTTTTTAATTCAACAGCAGGACAAACTCATTCTGGATAACTATACCACACTGTAACTATATGTGCTGAAAGTGGTGATATAAAGCATGCATGGTAAATGACTCATTTTACTGTCTCTGAAAGGAAGCTCTACTTTGCATCCCTTTACTCTTTATTAAATAATCAAGATCACACACTGATGTTTCTTAAAATAACCAATATATTTAGCTCTTTGACATGTGTCAACAGTGTCAACAAGGATTCTGAAAAATAAACACTTCCCAAGCCATTTTTATGTCTTAATAAAAGGCTTCAGACTCTGTGTGTGTGTGTGTGTGTGTGTGTGTGTGTGTGTGTGTGTGTGTGTGTGTGTGTGTGTTTGGGGGGGGTGCAGAGGAGGGGGAGGAAGAGCTTTACATTTTTTATTAGTCAAGTATAGTTGGCTGGCAATCAGCTTGTTTTTCTCACTTCCATTAACATATTCCACTTTATTACTTGGCTCTTTCAATAGCAGCTCCTAAAAAGAGATCATTTCTCCTCAAGTACTTAGGCACTTCTGCCTGGAGTTTTAACACACTTCTTTGTTGGGGAACCAGCCTCCTAAGGAGGTTATGACTTGAATTTACAAAGCCCAGGAAATTTAAATCAATGAGAACACTCCATATTTAATTCTGTACTCAGCCTCCAGGAGCAACATTATAAAATACATTTAAAAATTACTTCGGAAACTACATTTTAACTTACCCATTACAGTTCTGGCAACCTTAGAAAATGCTCCAAAAGGAGTGAGTCATCTTGACGTAACACAACTCCACTTTAAGTTACAATTTGTGAGGAACTTCAGGGTAGCTGAGCCAGATTTAATTCCAGACAGCCTGGATTTAATTCCTGGCTCCAATTTTTACTGCTTGTGTGACTACGGGCAAGTCGCTTAACCTTTCTGTGCCTCAGTTTCCTCATCTGACAAATGGGCGGTGTTATGTTGACTTTGTACTGGACTCCATCTTCTATTCTTATATTAATCTCATATCTAATGGCCAAAGTTGGGGATTTCTGTGCTAACACGGGACACAACTGTGTATTTCTTATTTTCATTCTGTCTTATTTTCCTTCTGCTTCAAGATCATACCTGTTGACTCAGGATTAATAATGGAACAGAAATATAAAAGAGACAGAAGAGTAGATTTTTGGCTGATGAGTCTTATATAAGTTTTTATGGCATCAAGTGTGATACCAGGAACACAGAATTGCATGGCATAGAATACTTAATATTAGAAGAACACATTTGCAGTGTATTAAGTGGGGGAAACACAAGTTGGAAAATTGTGTGTGTGTGTCTGTGTACAAATAAATATATTATTCAAAATTATGCATAAAAATATTGGAAAGATATGCACCAACATGGTAACTGTGGTTAGCAATAGGTTATAAGGTTAGAGTGACATTTTCCTTCTCTGTGCTTTTTCTGAAACTTCCCAAATTTCTACAATTAACTAACAAATTTTAAAATCAGAAAAAGGTTTTTTTCACAAAGACATTTTTCCCAGAAAACAATGTTCCTAATGTAGTTATATTACATAAAATCTGTGAAAGTGATAATGTAATAGCTATACTTATTTGGCATTGATGATGTGCCAGTCATTATAGTAAATGCATTACATAAATTCTCATTTAGGCCTCACACTCTATGATGCAGGTATTGTTCTGACCCCATTTTGCAGATGACAAAAACTCAAGTTATTCACGTGAAGTCAGACAGCTCGTAACTTGTGAGGCCCAAAGTATGAACCCAGAGGATCTGAGTCCAGAACTCCATCTCTCATGTGCTGGCCACTAGGCTTCCTGCCTCCACCCACACTGCTTCCCAAAAACCTAATCTTTTTCTTTTTGTTCCTGATTTTTACATCTTCAATGCTCTTTTTGACTCTCACCCTTGTGGGAGAGGGGTGAAAATAGACAATGTGTGCACTTCTTGCACGAGGTGAAAATCAGGCATTCACTACATACATGGTATCTCTGCTTTAAACATACACACCTTCCCAAAGGAGACGTGGGAACATGCAGAACCAAATAGGGACTAGCACTGACCACTGGGCCACCCCTTCCCACTACCATGATGGGCTCTCACAGCACTGTGAACCTCTCTGCCCGACCTTTGTCATAGTTAGTTGTATTTTATCTTTGCTTGTTATCTGATTGCTTACTACATGCCTGGTACTATTCTGAGCACGTTACATGTATTACTTTTCTTCTCACCGTTATTGTCCCCTCTATACACATAAG